CACAGACACACACACACACACACACACACACACACTTGAGAAACACATAAAATTATTTTTTTCTGGAAGCATGCTTAAACAATAGTTCATATGATAAATTCTCTTGCACATCTCTCATCTCTCTCTCTCTCTCTCTCTCTCTCTCTCTCTCTCTCTGAACACCCCTATTTCAGCTGAGCAGGACCCTCAACCTTGATGAAATTCTAAAACTCCTGTTATAATTCATAGCAGCAATTAAATATAATGATTCATCTTACCAGCATGTACTCTCCACTTAACTGAAACATCATACTCACCTTGTGGCCCATTCAGATTCATCATTTCATTTGTTGATTTTGTTTTATTTCTTCTATTGTTCACACAATATCCGAATGTGTCCTGAGCATATCTACCCCACTGTCCTCCTTAAATTCTTCTATGACTTTTTGCTATCACATCCCCTTCTCAACTCATACCCTTTAAAAATGTATCTTATCTGAGAATTTCATGTGTGTATACACCAGTAGATCCCCTACCAACCACATATCTTATTTTTTTATAAACCATTGAGTATAATTAAAGTTGCCTATATGTATGTGAGTATAAGGTTACTCAAAGGATTATAGGCATTCTACCAAAGACACCTGTGAAGATCTTTGCTTGGAAGCTGTCAATTGTCAATAGCTCTCATCTAATGGGTGTGGTCTTGTGGATCCTTCCCTGTCCTTGGTTAACTATTGATTGGCTTGATCTTGTTCACTTCTGTAGGCAGCCCCACAGTCCTTTAGTTCATAACTGTTATGGTTCTGCCATTTCTAGAAAACACTATTTTATAGCAGTTCTCTCCAATCTCTCGGCCTCTTACACCATTACTAATCCCTCATGATACTTGAAACTAATTCTTCATGATACTTGAAACTTGAGGGTATGCTGTAATTGGTGGCTGAGAAGTCTACAATCCCTTAGTATTTTCACTTTGACTAGCTGTGAGTTTCTCTTATAATCACGGTCCATTGCAGTAGGAAGCTTCTTTGATGAAATGGGCAGATGTGGGGACACACAAATCTTCCAGTAAAACCACAAATATTTAAAAGGAAGTTTGACTTTCAGTCAATTTAGCAAAACAACAATAGTAGGTTATCTATGACAGTGTGTGATGTGCCTAACTGGAAGTTCTTGGTCAGGTTTAAGGTACAAGGCAAGATTTCACTCTTTTGGAGCTTCCAAATACTACTATGCACAGGGTCATGAATATGGAGCCACACACTCAGACATGGGCAATCAATTTCTGGCCATATCCCAAGGGGAAAAAAAAAAGGTCCTTCCTTCTCCCAGCAGCCATTAAGCACTGATAGATCCTCAGTGAGAGATGAGGCCTCCTGAGATCGTGCCTCATCTATATTGGAATTTTATCTGACTTAATCTTTTGCAGATCTTGAGGAGATAAACAAAGATGCTGTAAGTTCATCTGGGCAGCAATCAAATCATATCTAAAAGACAGCATTACACTTTAATCATTTCCATTCTCTATCTCTTAGGTTCTTTCAGCCCCTTCATCTTTTATTTTATATTTCCTGAGTTTTGTGGATAAATTAGGGACACAAGAAGACCCTTTTTTTAAAAGTATTATAAGACTTACTTTATTTTCTTTTTAATCCTCAGAGGAAGTAAGAGCAAACTGGTTTTTTTTTTTTTTTCCTCACAATTACAATTTCTTTGAGTCTCTGCTTTTATGTTCAGGAAACATTTTGTTATTTGGTAAAGAATTTGGATTTGAAGACAGACAAATTTAAGTTACACTGCCAAATCTTCTTTCAATAAGTGTGTGATTTTCTACACATATCCTAATTTCTCTAAATATCAAAGTTGTGTTTTGTAAAATAAACTAAGTAATGTTTAAAATTAACTCTCAACATGCTTCAGTTGCTTGGTCACACATCTGTACAGATAAATAAAGTGACTACAATTTCCCTTTGTATTCTAAATGGCATGATAACCACTTCTACCTACCTACTTACCTACATAAAGACCACTTCTCACCTCACTGAGTATATAAAGCAGTATTAACTCAATTTAATAAACTCAACTGACAACATAATTAGAAAGTAAACATTGTTTGCTTAATGTTTTTTGAAGGAATGATTCTTTTTTCTTAATGCTTATTTTTACTGTATTTCAAAATAATACATAGGGTTGAGGAGATTGTATTCTCACACAGTACTGTGTGATGGAGGGTAAAATGAGGAAGAAGCATCTTCTACTTCTGAGGGTCTATGCCTAGGAGATACAAAACCTTTTATCATCCCAGACAGTTTTAAATGATGTTTAAAAAGCCAAGAGCCTTGAGTAACCCGTGGATTCTAGTTAATTTATCAATGTGGTGAAAAGAAATCCAGCTTTGTTTTTATTCTCTGGATCCAACTTTGGAATCAATCCCTCTAGAAGAGCATAATAATTGAAAGCTTCTCCCTTTCAATTGAGGAGGTAAGCACTCATGCTTCCTTATGAAGATGGACAGTGAATTTCTCACTGATAATTGAAACCTTTATGACAATATGTACCTATTAATAATCTTGTTTAATCTTAAGGCAACTTGTATCTTCTGAGATGAGGTTGCTACCACCTTCATCTTTGACCACTCCTGTGATATTGTCTGGGAATCGTGTGGAATTTGGGCCCACTGAGTCTAAATTCTCTAACTGCATGGTCTCCCTGCTGACCTGAATATCTACCCATAACTTTTCCTACATGAGAACATTATAGCAATGTAGAGGGGTACCGAAAATTAAACATTTCACCTGTGAAATATTTGTTACACAATAGTTATTTCAATATATTGTATAATTACCATATTGCTTAGAAAGATGTTTTATAATGAAGCAATATCAAGTAATGATCCTAATCCCATATTGTGTTTGTGGGTCTGGAAAGATGGATCAACATATAAAAGTGTTTACTAGTCTCACAGGGAATATAGGTTTGGTTCTCAACACCCATGTGACAGTTTATAATTGCTTGGGATCACAATTCCAATGAGTCTGATCCCCTCTTCTGGCCTCCATGTCCTCCAGCATACATATGACACACATACACTCATGCTGGCAAACACATATACACACAAAAATAATGAGAACTAATAAAGAAATCTGCATTACTTGCCAAACTTTTAAGTACCCTATAAATATAGGGATCAGAAACAATACTGTAGGTTCCACTGTAAGATCTGTGAAGTCGTAGTTATCAGTCTATAAAGAACCACACATACTTTATAAAACTCTTCAAGTAGTAAAACTTAGGGAACTAAATAATTTGTAAGAAAGATCAAATGCTACAAGCCACTCCATGGATGGGGAACTCTAACAATGTTTAGTATATAAACAAATATCCACCCAAGATCCATGTAAGAATCACAAATCAGTAAATACATTTTTATCATAATATAGACATATATATTAGTTTGTATTTGCTATCCTACTTCAAGAAAACACAGAGCGCAGCTAACAAATCTAATTTCTTTCATGCAAATCCAGACTAATAGTACCATAATCCACTAAGCATTTGGCTTTAAGCATTTACATTTTAGGAAAAGGTGTTATTATTTTAACCAATGTGTTCATTATAACATTGATTGATTTCTAGACAACTCCCAATTTCCAAACTGAAAATTTTACAGTTATAAAACTCTAAGATCTATTCCAAGACAATTATAATTGTTTTCATGAAAGCTATAACAGGTTATTCTCATACCTGGACTCAAGGCCACCAATATTCTTAACACACTAGTGCTCAAATTTGTTTTCTAGAGATTATTTAATTCCATTAACTACCTAGCTTTCAGACCTCCATATCAGACAGTTCTTTGAATGACTGATTCTTTAAGAACATCAAAAGGACGTTAATATCAGATCAAACTTTTACGTGCCAGAGATTACTAAAATAATTTGAACTCTCATCTCTTGAATTGCCAAATTCCAACAAATTATTTTCTGTTTTATCTCAGAATATAGCTTTTGTGATATAGTGAAGTACACAGAATTTGGACATGAGTTTTAACCATGACCCATAAACAGTAAATTATATGACTTTACTTTTGATCATTAGCCTCTTGTTTATAAGACAGACATGGCAGATTCTCAAAGAAAAAAATTTTTTGTTACAAGGACTTATGCTTATCTATAGGAAGGACCAGTACAGTACTTGTACACATGGTAGGTACATAATTAATAGCATTTTAACTTTCCTCACAAATCCCCACTCCTTGACTACATGGTATTATAGCTCTCTAAATTTTATTATGACTCTTTCCTGCTTTCTAGGATGTAACAACTATATAAACTGTAAATAAATAAAAAAAAAACATTAATCTTAGAAAAATCAGGCTTATTCCTTCAAAGAACTCATTTTTTAATTAATGATCTCATAAAGTAAAAGAAAAGCCTAGTTGTCTGTGTTCCATCTAAGTGATCCAAGATAGCAGGCAATGATAACTGTGGTTATATTTTTACACATGAAATATGGTAACATCAATATTTCAGGCTGTATCTGCTCATGAACCCTAAGTATTACTGAGTTTCCACTTATCACTGTGTACCCCTCAACTCCTCTATATAGTTAAAAGCTCCAGATCTGCTAAGAAGAATGTCATAAAATGTGAAAATGACAGAAAAAAAAATTATCACACAAAACAAATGTATTTTAAAATTTCTAACAGGTTACAAATTATGGAACATATATCAACTTATACTGTTTATAAATGTCTATTAATTATCTTAAAATACCATTGCTGCTACTAAGGAAAATACACCCGAACCATTAAAATATTCTTGGCATATCTTACCTCCTAGAAGTTAAATATGAGTTAAACTCTAAGGTCTTAGGAGATCTCTTCCATCATCCACTTCTCTTGGTATTGCTACTCCATGGGATAGAGCACATACAGACAGAGAGCTAAAGAAACAGAACTTTGCTTGTATGAGCTCAAGGCTTTTCTCTCTGTGTTCTACACTCAGAACTCAGGTAACTGCCTACCAGCCAGCAGTTCCCTCCCTATGGAATGAAGGATAAAAGTGAGAAAACTACTGAAGATCCTTAAGGAAATGAAATTCCCTAAAATTTGGATTGAAAAGGAGGGAAAGTTGTACTCAGAATATCCAAGACAAAGAGCTCATTCCTGGATTTTTGAAGAAAAAGGAACTAAGTGAACCAGTTGCCAGGACAACCTGTGTTGTGGAGAAGGGGTGGGACAAGGAATGGGTGACCTATGGGTACTTCTGTTTTTGCCTCTGTCCATGGCAGCCTTTCATGGGGTCAAAGGCTGTTTGGAGTGTGACCCCAAATTCATAGAGGATGTTAGGACCTTGTTGGGAAAGCTGATACCTGTAGAAGTTCCTGGGAGAACTCAACTGCTTGGCAGGCAGCATAAGGAGATAACCCACTTAAGCTCCAAGGTCTCCCACAAGGATAAGACTCTTCGGTTGTTGGGTGAGGGAAGCGTGAGTCCTGAGAGATTGGGAGGTTAAAGGGAGAAGGGGGGCATGGAAAACAAAATACTTGGGTCCACTTCACATCCTTCAAAGGCTTGATTATTGCCTGTCTAATATGTACTTTTCTCCCTCCTATATAGCTGTTCGAAATGTTGTCAATTTGAGAGAATGGCTGAAGCATGAATTTTATAGACTGGGCAATGAAACATGGAAAGGTAAGAAGTTGCTTCACTGTCAGACTTTTATGGTGCAAACAGGTAAACAGATTGGAGGAAATGTGACTAGGAAAAGCAAAGCAAAATAACTAAAATTTTATTCTGAAATAATCACCCTAATTTCTGGTATCCTTTCCATTTTCTTAGGTGTCTTTATCATCCAAGGCAAGCTTCTTAAAGTCCGTCAAAACCTGGAATCAGAAATGAAAGAAATACTAAAGAAGTTCTCTGAAATTGGTAATGAGACATTTCTACCTAACAAAACTGAAAGTATGTCAGAGAACAGGAACTAAGGGGTGAGGAGAGGAATGAGGGTCCAGGTAACAATGGAGTGATAAAGGGATAGACAGCAGGGATAATGTGGGTATGAATAAGATACATGGGATGTTGGCTCCAAGCTCATCGGGTCTTTCTGATTCTCTTTTAGCTTGCTCAGAAGATTGCAGTGAGTACAGTACATGTGACGCTTTGAGGTTTCAGCCCATATTTTCCCATCTCTTTTCTTTGTTTGCTCTTCTCTCCTGCTAGTTAACTTGGGACCCAATTCCTAGAGCTGTAGAGGGAATATCAATAATGTCTGATGACAAAATTGAGCTTATAGGATTTTATCCACCACACAGTTTGAAGGAGTGCTCAATGCCTCCCCAGTGCACTGCTCCAACATAATCATTGCTCCACTTCATCCACAGACAGCTAAGCTTTTTATAATCTTTGAAATTTTAAGGATCTTGACTACTAGAGGAAAGATCGCAATAAATATAACTTAAGTATCATGGGAATGTATGACATCTAATCTATATTTATGAGCTAAGGAACACCCTTGCCATATTCCTTTTATGATTATATTTTTCTTTGCCAGTTGTAACTGAAGGTCCTGTCCTTGACTGTTGGACCTGTCTTCGCATGACCACCCGGTGTTTCAGAGGAGACTATTGTAAAGGTGATATAGGCTGTGTGGTATGGCAATTTGAGGGGACAGGGATCAAGAAACTAGATGACTCATTGGCTTTTTTTCTGAATGCTTTAATAAAGCTTATAGTAATGATTTTTAAAAGCTAACATATTGAGTAAAAAGTGCAACAAAAGTAATAAATTTGAAAAAAAGCCAGTGAAGTAGGTGAGAAATGAATAGCTCTGCATACTGCAGAAATTAGGCTAAAGGGCAGCAACTGGAAAATTTTTGAAGGGGTCTAACACAAGAAATCCAGGAATAATGACGAAGCAGGCAGTGGTCAACTCATTTGAACTGAATTTGTTCTATATAAAGATTACTCCTCTTCCAAATTCATTTTCTTTACTTTCTTTTCTCCATCCAGATGAGAATCCAAAGAAGGCTGAAAATCGAGAAATTGCACTATATCTGATATTGATGGCAGAAGCTGTAATATTGGCAAGTGCTGTGTTACTGTGAGTTTTCCACCCTCCAAGCATTCCTTTGCCAAAGAGACTGTCCAAACTCCTCCTTCTCTAGTGGAAAATGGGGAAAGGAATGGTCAGAAGCTTGAAACAAGTAGTAGATGGAACATAAGAGAACACAAAAGAATACAAGAACATCAGCTCTATAATTATTTTTAAAATATTGCTTCTTAAATTTAAGTATGGATTGTCCTTTCTCTATCCTAGATTTCATTTTTGCATCTCACATCGAAGGAAAATGAAGGTAATACGAAGGACATTGAGGACATATTTGGAGAAGAAACTTGAAGAATTAGTGGGGATTGTAGATAAGGATGATGAGAAAAAATATTTGGATATCCAGAAATCAAATTCAGTGTCTCAGACAGGAGATCCTTCAAGTGCTGAGTCACAGTTTCAAACTGGGACTTGAGTTCCTACATGGTCATGAAATCACAGCATCTTAAAAGTGGAATAGAACTTAGGGTTTCTCCAGTGAACATCCTTACTGACATCCTGAGACAATGGATGAAATGAGAGGGCAAATGATTTACCCTGAGTTATACAGAAAGTAAACTGGTATGCTGCAATACACACAAGAAACAATATGCCATCAGAAAACAAAAATGCATAGTCACTCTCATGAATGGCAGTAATTAGGGCAACTTCCACATTTATAAATCTGTATTTTATTTCTATTTTTATTTTATTTATGTTTCCACGTCTACGATAAGGACCAATGTAGATGATTTCCTAGATAAATGATAATTAAATTTTATCATTATATCTGAAGCACATGTAAAATAAAATACAAAAATATTAGTCCTAAGTAGCTGAGGTTTGTCCAAATCATTTTTTCTAAATTGATGTCTCAAAAAAAAGTTTGATATTTTTCCTTATTAGTGTGTCTTCTATAACTTGTGTGTATGGAAGAACATGTATGAAGAGATATATAAAGAGGTATGTGTGTGTGTGTGTGTGTGTGTGTGTGTTTTAGAACCCTTCACTATTACACCTGATACATTGAGGTTTCTCAGTCAAACTCATATTATGCCAACATGATTAGCCTCAATAGCTAATTGTCACCAAATTCCCCTATCTTGGATTTCCAAGGCATGAATTACAGGTGACCTGGTACTTTCACACAGTATCTACTTGGATTCTGGACACCCAAACTCTGGTCTTCTTGCTTTCACAGTAAACACATTATCCATTAAGCCATGGCCACAACCCATATGTTTTTATTCCATGAGATTTTTTCCATTGAATACCTTTCTTTGCATATTACCTTAATTATTGCATTATATGCTTATATTCATATATAATCAAACTATCTAACCAAACTTATGAGTAATCACTGTTTTCTCAGTAGATCTGAGGATGTAGAAGAATGGAACTATGCAAAACTATAAAAAAAAAACTCCTTTGATGAGTGATACATACTTATCAAAACCATCTGACTAGTACTGATAAGCAAAGATCTATTTATGTTAGATTAATGAAAATTATAAAAGTGGACTTACGCTCTTAACCTATTCTTGATTAGACAGCCAGCACATAACAAAGACTAGACTAAAGCACAGCCCTACTTAGCTCTAACTTTCAAACCTTTCCATTTTGCCTTGCTTCCTTTTATTCTATAAGCTTGTTTCAGAGGAGAAACACCTCAGTTTACCAGAATGAAACAAATAGTAAATGAGTCTTAAATCAGAAATGTGTACTGGTGATTGCAAATAATTCCATGTAGTAGAAATCTGAGTGTTTGCTTAGGCCTGCTGCTATGTGAATGAGATACTGAGTGATGAGCATGGTCTATCTCTGGGTGAGTAATTTGGATTTTATTGTAACTGTGGTAGCATGAGAGGAAATCTAAGATTGTCACATAGAAATATAAGCAGCAGAGGATGGAAAAAATTGCCCATGAGCTGGATAACTTGCTGTAGAAGCCTGGGAACCTAGATTCAAACCATTATCACCAAAAAAGCCATGTTCTGAAGGCAGGCGTAACACCATGTACCTTCAACGCCCCCCCACACACACAAACAAATGCAGAGGCACATGGCTTTCTGAATTTGATGGTAGGCCGGTATATATAGTGAGGTCCACCTAGCTAGAGGTACAGAGGAAGACCCTTTCTCAAAATAAGTAAATAAATAAATAAATAAATAAAACAAGCCACAGTAAAATTCATGCATAACCAAGCTATGTGTTTAACACTAGTTCTGTGCAAGACCAAGAGTGAAGGATGCTTGGGGCATGCTTGCCTCCAGCAAATGAGAAACCCTGCATCAAAGAAATAAAAAAGAGTAGAAGATCGAGTTACAAAGCATCCACATCTGTCTTCTTTGTGTGTACCAGCATGTACACATACACACCCACATGCTATTTAAACATTAAGGGAAGAAAGTACACTTGAGTGTTTTTCCATCATCTTCCCTAATTATAGGTTATTGCTTTACAGGAATATCTTAGAATTGTGTGATGTTTGTCATTTGGAACACCTAATTTGAATTTCCTGCCATTTAAAAGGGAAGAATTGCTTCAGTAATCTTTGAGATGTTAGGGCTGGGACTAACATATATCATTTAGGATAAAGAGAAAATTGAAGCATATTATGAAACATTAATGTGAATAAAAATTATTTATACAATGAGCAGTAAAATTAAATTTGACAACAAAAAATGCCATGTACTTGTATAATCAAACTCTTATTTCTAAGTAATGTATGAATAAAGAAAAAAATTATTCATCAAATAATTAAGTGTTAAAACTAAGCAAGTGGAAACATCACTTATCATATCTTCTGAACAATGGCTAATATAGGATGCACTGAAGTATGCAACACTAACAATCATATATCAGAACAAGAATATTCAAATGTATTCACCAGGAAGTTCAAGCCAAGCAAGTAGAAGTAGGAAAAAAGAATTGTAATACAAAAGAAGGAAAATAAGATTACATAAAAAATAAGTAAAGTAGCAAATACAGAAAATTAATACCAACTACTAATTAAAAGTTTCTATCCAGTTTTTTTTAAGAAAATTATTTTTTAAAATGTAGGAAATAAAATGGAACAAAAATACAAGAACGTTTTCTTATAACTTAAGAGAACTTATTTGGGGATGGCAAATGGTTCACTGGGTAAAGGCACTTGCTGCAATTCTGACTCCCTGAGTTTGATACCCAGGAGTAACAGAGTTGAAAGAATTGACTGACTCTTGCAAGATGTCACCTAATTCCAGTTGCACTTAGTGGCACATAAAGTGATCATACATGAACACACACCCACACATGCATGTACACTATACATGCAAATTCTTGCCATTCTTGCACATAACCTCTCTCTCTTTCTCTCTCTCTCTCTCTCTCTCTCACACACACACACACACATACACTGTGCACTGTATTGTTTTTATATTTAAAAAGAGATCTTAAATATAGTTTTTTAAAATTTATCTGAAGGACATACTTTCAATGAAAGTATACATTTTCAATAGTGTCACAGGAAAAGAAACCAAACCAAAAATATTTACAGAACTCTTGACTAGTATAAATACTATTAAAAGTAAATGTGTATGGAAAAGCCTGACCACGACTCAACAGGATGACATTGACTTTATTGAAAGGGTTAAAAAGATGCTTTCTTCTCCAATAGTCTTCATTGACTGGTTGCATACTTAACTAGGAAATAAAACAATACCAAAAGAAAAAGCTTAATTGAAAAGGTACAGGCTTCATTTAGAAGCGGTAAGAAGAGTTTTGACTGACTATAACAAAAGTGGCATGCATTCAGTGTTTAGACCTTCGTTTGTGATCCAAGTAGATCCAAGCAAATAAAATTATTTAAATGACATAAGATCAAGCTGAGTGGCAAAGATGAAAGCAGGTTAGGAGGTAGGCTTGGGGAATTGTGGAAACCAATGACTGACTGCTAAAGGTCTCATAATGGTAAAAAGTAAGCAGAACTCTTAAGTGGGCTTGGAAGAAATAGCCAGCAGAGTGATATGTTACTGAGGTACATACAAGAATAATAATAAGGTACCCAGAAATGGATCTTGTTCTGTGTAAATGCACTTTCAATGAAGTATTGTTTAACTATTTAATTGTATACTAATTTTATATTACTTTATATTTATATTTTACAGTTACTTAACTTTATATTAGATTTTATATTTCTTTTTTATTTAAACCTTTCAATATATTTTAACTGAAATAGAAGTTTAGCATTTTATTACTCCCTTTCCTCTTGACAGCCCCTCCCAGATTCAGTTTCTCAATCCCTTTTCAGGCCCCCAGTCTCAAGTTAATAAATATAACTATAATAATCAAGAAAATGGTATAGGGAATTTTGTTTGTTTCTTTGTTTTAAAATTTAATATTTGAGTACTATATTTGCATCATATACCCTCATTTATTTCCAAATCCTCCCACATGCCCATACTCCTCAAATTCATTGTATCTTTTTCTTTACTTATTATTATATACAAATTAGCAAATACTAGTTTCTTTACTGTTGCTCATATGTATTTAAGTTTAGGGCAGAGTTCTTTTTTTCTTCTTCTTCATTTATTTATTTTATCTATAAATTGCTGTTACAAATCACAGGTGGGGCTAGAAAGATGAAAGATGGTTTAACACTTAAGAACATTTGTTACTCTCCCAGATGATATGGGTTCAGTTCCCATCACACACACAGATGCCCACAACCATCTGTAATTCCAATTTCAGGGGATCAGGGGATCCAACATCATCTTTGGGCCTTGAAGGGTACCAGACATACAGACATTCATGCAGTCAAACCACCGTGTTTGTCTTTTTGTGACTGGGTTACCTCACTCAGGATGATTTCTACTAGTTTCACCCATTTGCCTTCAAATTTCAAGATTCTATCTTTTTTGTTTGCTTCTTTCTTTTTTTCTGAGTAGTACTGCATTGTATAAATATACCATATTTTCTCCACCCATTCTTCAGTTGAGGGACATTAGGGTGCTTTCAGGTTCTGATTAGTACAAATAATGCTGCTATGAACATAGTTGAACAGATGTCTTTGTTGTATAAATCTGTATCTTTTGGTTAAATGCTTAACAGTGGAATGATTGGATCTTGAGGTAGACTGATTCTCATTTTCCTGAGGAACCACCATACTGATTTCCAAAGTGGCTGTCCAAGTTTGCACTCCCACCAACAATGGAAGAGTGTTCACCTTCCTCCACATCCTCCCCAGCTGGCATAACTGGATGCTGACCTGTAGAAGACTCCAGATAGATCCATATCTATTGCCATGCACAAAATTTAAGTCCAAATGGACCAAAGACCTCAACATAAACCCAGACACACTGAACCTCTTACAAGAGAAAGTGGGAGGTACCCTTGAATGAATTGGTACAGGAGACCTTTCCTGAACATAACATGAGTAATTCAGTTCCTACTTAGTCATGAAAATAGTATTTTTCTTTTAATATTTATTTTAATTAATTTTTAGAATTTACAAGTTTTCTTTTACACCCATCCCCTAAC